GCCAGACAGTCCGCCTCGTAATAGAAATTAGCCACTTCCATGGATTTAAAGGCCGCGGGCTGGAGGTGGTGGCATGCCTGATCCCAGGCTACCAGGCGTTGCATGAAAGCAAAAGGAGGGGAGCGGGAGGGAAAAGGGGAATCTCGGCCACCAGCGGCCCCCCTCCAAAGCCTCCAGAGCGAGAGGGCGGGGACGTCGCGAGCGCCGGCCGAGGAGCGCCGGCAGTTCCTCTGCGTTGGTGCCGGCCCTGAAACTCCCGTCGAAGTCGGGGAAGGGGCTTGGCCCCTTCTTCGAAAATCGCGAAGCGCTGCTTAGACGCTGCCGCTGCCGGTCGGCCACTCTGGCTGCGGCTGGTTCCTCCGGATCATTTGGCGGTAGGTGTCGAGTCCTCTTCTAAAGTCTCTTGACTTGGGAAAGTTCCTTTGCTCTCAGTTATGTATAGGGGCGGAGCAGCGCAAGCAAGGGGGAAAGAAAAGGTCATTCGCTGCCTGCCCGCTCGCTCGCTCGCTTGCTTGCCTGCCTGCCTGTTGCGCGCTGCGGCGCACGGAGAGGTCTCGCTGCTGGCTTCAGCCTCCAAGCAGGGCGTTCGCAGAGCGTCTGTGCCTCCCGGAGCCTTGGCCATTCATAACAAGGCGACTCCACGGCGCGATTCGAGGAGGAGGAGGAGGAGGAGGAGGTGGGAGCAGGGCTGGTTGGCCCGGGCTCGCGCAGGGGGAGGGGCGTCTTTTCAGCCGGGGCAAAGTTTGGTGTGCGTGTGATTTCTCTCCTTAGCCCCAGCTGGGTTTTCCCAAACCCAGAATGTGTGATCCAGGCTCGGATGGAAGGCTTTCGCATCCAGATCCGCTGTTTCTTTGGCACCCCGGTTTGGGGAGAGAAGTTTCTTTTTCAAGCAAAATGAGCGTGTTCATTTGCGCTCGTATTAAGGAGACGCACTCTCTTCGCGCCGCGTTGTCCCATCGCACCCAGCGAGGCTTGGGTAGGATCGCCTTGCAGTATCCTAAATATATTTACAAGGAAGTCCTGTTGAACGCAGCAGCCCTGCTTTGGATCCAGTCACAAAAGTAGATCTCTTGCCGTCCCAACAATCGTTTCTGGGTGGAGAGGAGTTTTCAATGAGAGTGAAGCTGCAAACCTCAAAGACGGTGGACACTCAATGCAGCAGAAATAAAAGATTGTGTTTGTGTGACACAGTTGTCCATGATTAACATCAGGCATGACATAACTCAATGTTCTGGGTTTACATGACACTTGAACCATAAATTATACAGGCAGGTTTTACACAATATCCTAGGCTAACATTTGGTTGGCTAGTTTAGGACTCAGGGTGTCATGTGAATATATAGCTTTTTGACTAGTATGGTTACCCCTCTGGTAAAACTGATTTCAAAACAAACCAGCATAAGATTGTGCGGTTACTGACTGTTAGTGCAGAAAGAGGGTCAGTTAGGAAATAAATTTTGTGTCAAATGTGGATGTAGCAAATGGGGAAAAGCTATGAGAGAGAGAGAGAGAGAAAGAAAGAAAGAAAGGAAGGAAGGAAGGAAGGAAGGAAGGAAAGAAAGAAAGAAAGAAAGAAAGAAAGAAAGA